GGCATATCGACTATAAAAAGAGTAAAATGTAATTAATTCAGTAGAAACAAGTACATTATAGCTCTGTGATTGTACTAGAATCATATATCACAGTGGGAGCTCAACAAGTAGCTGAACTACAGTTCATTTAGAATCGAACCTGGGACATTTCGTATGTTGGTTATAGGTCTGAAATTTTGTCTGTCAAACTGCCTTAAGTATGCAGAACAGAGTGCTTTGAAGAAATATGAAACTAAAAGAGATAAAGTAATAAAAGAGGGAGGAAAAACTGTAAAGGAGGAACTCAAAATTTGTTATTTTCAAAAAGAATTATTACAATCATCAAATCGACGAGGTTAAGATATACTTGACTTGCAACAGACATTGAGGAAATAACAAATGCCTACAAAATATTGATGTGAACACCTATAGAAAGACACTTCTTGCGACAAACCTCGGCGTAGATGGGATGATATTATTAAAAACATCCTGAAAAAATTGGTGGCAGTGTGTGTGGGGGGTGAAGTCTTCAGTCTCATATTAGTGTCCAGTGACGGGATCCGAAAATGGTAAAAACTTTCGGTTTTCTTAAAAGCCGAAAAACATCTTTAGCAGCTTCTCAAAAACGACGCTGCTCTATGGATTAGTAATACAAGAAAAGTAGGCACACTTTGCGGATGAGGCTTTTGCTTCCTTCTTTTCCTCTAAAGGCGCGTCCACATTACTCGTGCTCGTGTGACTCGCTATGCTCGCGAGTAATGTGGACGATATGACAAGTCACGAGACAAGCAAATTTTTAATTTAAAAACTATAGCCAATAAATTAAAATACGACTATAGCCTATACACACTACGAGTAAATATACGGATCCTCACGCGCCGAAGCCTGGCGAGCAACTGAAGTAGTGTGGACGAAGATTTACGAGCACAAGTAAAAGCCAGACGAGTCTCCCGACGAGCACGAGTAATGTGGACGCGCCTTAATAGGAAATCCATATTAACATTGTACTTTCACTTTGTGAAACACAACATGGAACACGAATTTGGACTTCTAACGTAAAATGTTAAAGTAAATAAGGAGGAATTGTAATTTTCTGGTGTTGTCTCCCGTACTGTTGACACAGTTATAATTTAGGACTCCATTTTCCTTTGAAGAGTTACGTCTTTTGGGAAACAGTGATGTGTAGTCCAGTAAATATCAACCGACGTTTCGGAGGAACATATTGCCACCAATCTCGAGGGTTGGAGAGCACGCCACGTGATAAAACAAGCGTGAAGCAGGCAGCAAACAGCTCCGACTCCCACCAGACTGCAAGGCGCTATTTCATATGAAAGATGACTCCTCATAATCATCACTGTGAGAACCCGAACTTCAGTGCGAATACATTTCATTCGACACTGTATAATGGGCACGTTGTAAAGGCTCTATGCTACAAGCCAGAAGGTCGCGAGATCGAATCCCGATGGATTTTTTTTCAATTTAACTAGTCCTTCCAGCCGCACTATGGCCCTGGGGTCGACTCAATCTCTAACAGAAATGAGTACCAGGAATATTCTTCGGGGGGGTAATGACGGCCGGCGCGTAAGGCTGACAAACTTACCGCCATCTATGAGCCGATTGTCTAGAAAATGTGGGAAGCTCAACATCTCACAACCCTATGGGCCTCCACGGCCTGTTACAGGGATAGCTTTACTTTTTACCGTATAATATCTGTAGCTTTACTTACTTACTTACTCATGGAGCTGAGCCCTTCTGGAGGATCCGCCAATTCTGCAGGTACTCAAGAATTTCCCAGCATTTTATGGAACCCGAATGTTCATTACCGTGTTCACAAGAGCCCTCCAATTGTCCCTATCCTGAGCCAGATCTAGCCAATCCATACCACTCCATCCCATCTCTCTAAGATCCATTTTAATATTGTCCACCCACATACGCCTTGGTCTTCCCAGTGGTCTCTTTCATTCTGCCTTTCTGACCAATATCCTACACGCATTCCTCATCTACCCCATTCGTGCTACATGACGTGCCCACCTCATCCTCCTTGACTTGATCATTCTAATTATACTTGGAGAAGAGTGTCTGTAGCTTTACAGAGTTTTTAAATAATTTGTAATTAAAACAACATTATATTTTTCCATCATTTAATTCTATTTTATAATTTGGTGCTAACTTTTTCTGAAAAAAAAAATCATTCAGTAAAATGGAGACAGTACATTCTTCCGAAATGTTGGTACCTGTATACTAGACTACACGATGTCACATCTTCCTCTGAGAATCTCACGTCTCAGTATTAATAATGTGTTTGCCCTGTAACGAAGAACAATTTTCACTAGGTTTCTTTTGATGCGTGACTTTCGATATATGGACCTTACCAGGTGCTTAGACCTCGTTAATTCTAAGCACGTGAGAAGTTTCTATGCGAATACTAGTGTTGCCAGAAGCATTTCTCATAACGAATGAAGGAACCTTTGAGCTGCTATTTTCTCCAGATGCATGGCATCGACCCTTGAACGGAAGTTATTTTCATCGAAGGAACTTTGCGTCAGAATTCAAATCATTCCATTCTAAAGAACGCTTTTACATCGTTTTTTTTCTCCTGATTTCACATGGGGGAAAAATCTTTCTTCCAAAGTAAATATGTTTAGAAGATTTCTCTTTTCATGTAGGTCAATGCTGTTAACCTATGAAACTTGACGTTCATTTAGATAAAGAAGAGTACATCTTACATCATAGGAAAAACACTGCGTCTCCATTAAAAACATCGCCTAAGTATTGTTACTGGGGTATCAATTCTGTTTATTCGGAAGATAATATGATTTTTTTAGTGGTAGAGGAAAACTACGGAATTACTTTAGTCATGATAGCCGCTGTCCCGGTGAAGATTTTACCAGAGTACCTCCCGAGTATGACTGAACAGAATTACCGCTACGCTAACCAGAATATTCAATAGTAGCGTGGCATGTAGACCCGTTCCTAGGCAACAACTGTGAAGTAAGCAACTATAAATTTCCGTTATTAGGCAGCGGCCGGTAAAAACGTAACAAAGGAAATGTGTTTTCTGTATGGTCCGTGCCGAGATGTTATAAGCAGGACAATTTCGAGAAGTGCTGGGTTTCAGTCATGGTGAGATGTTGCTGTTAGAAGCTGTTAACTGAGGCAGTGGATAATTCGGGAGCCCAGAGCAAAAGGAACGTTCGCCGTTGGAAGCCGCTACCAAGCAACGACTAGGGAAGACTAAGAGTACTTTGTAAGTGCTGAAGTTACAGTGGTCTTTGGAGTGTGTAACTCAGTGAGACTGTTATAGTTATTTGTAGTTACGAGTGTAAGTGTTCAATAAATCCAATTACCAATAGAAACCCCGTCTTTAGTCACTATACACGTGACAATATGATAGCCTCACACGTGAAAGGGTATACTTGGTTTCGCAACTTACCGAAACAATATTCGAGGTCTGCCCCTCCTGTTATTTATTCCGAAGATCCTTTGGTTTTAAGTTCTGGTCTCAGAAGAAATGAATTTAATTTACATTCAAGAACCTAGTTCGTATCTCACATGAAGCTTACTGTCTACGTTGCAAGTTCCAGCTGGTTAATGTTGACGCTGGAATAGTCATTCCTCCCTCTGAGAAATATATGGACCTCATAAGTGCACACTCTGTATAAAATGCAGCTATTCTGAAGGTTAAAGAAAGTCGGTAGGCTTATATAATGTTATAACTCTCGTTTACAGGGTTAAAGGCGACGAAAATATACGATTCCTTCTTCTGGGTTATGAAAAGCTGCAGTCTGCTTGGTGGTTACCAGTTTCTCTGAGGAACATTCTGCCTCCATATTCCGTATACTCGTAGAACGTGCATTTATCCTGAAAATGCAATACATTCAAGGAAGAATGATGAAGAACGTCGTAGCTTTTCTTTTTATTTCATTTCTATCCATTCAATTTTATGTAATATGTCTCCTTATCATAAATTTTCAGCACAGCTGGCGAGAGTCACTGGTAAGTTAATTTCATATTGCTTAAAAAGAAATGTAAACTACACTGTAGCATGTAGACCCGTTACTAGGTAGTGACCACGAAACAAACAGGTTCCCACGGCAACGAGTTCGCGCAACAATAGAGGATGTGTTAGAAACGGTGTTTTCTACGCGGTCCATTCTGAGATTTTATAAGGAGGACAGTTGGAGCAACAGTTCAGAGCTCTGAGGGAGTCTGTGAAGAGAATACTTGGTCGGTGTAGTTGAGAGGCAGCGGTCAACGAAGTGAGGGCGGAACCTGAAGAATCTCTGATGTTAGAAGACATTACTAGGGAACGACTGGTGAAGACACAGTAAACTGAAAAGTATTAGCGTGTACTGTAGTGGTATCTAAGTGTGGAGATCAGAGATGGCACTATAATTTGGTGTAATTACGAGTTGTGTGTTAAAGTGGTCAAATCCAATCTCCAATCCAAACCCTGTCGGTAGTCACTCATACATATGACAGTACTGAAGGTGTGAAGTGCAGTGATTATGAAATAGACTCTTACTTCGTGCGCCGTTTCCAAACAATATGTTCATGGTTTCGAAATTATTGTCAGAAAGCGAGTATTTCTCTAAACAGTAGTAATAGCTGATTCCTGCAGTAGAAACGCGGTATGTTTTTGCGAGATAGTAACTGAAATTTTATATGTTAGGTTAATTTTAGGTTAATTTAAGACGTCATGCAGTGAAAGTCTTCTTAAAAACTGGTGTGAGGGAACCTGAATATCTTAAGGAATAATTCATTCTTTGCAAGGAAACATGGTGCAATATGACCTGTGGTTTGGAGTACGTGTAATGAATATTAAGAAACAAACATAAACAGAACATGGACTGAGTAACATTATTTTGGGAAGAGGGTTAACCAATGTCATGGACAGGAGAGCGTCTTAGTTCCGAGATATGTTAAATTCGCTCAGTTGTACTGAGCCAAACGAAACGTCATTATGTGAACTAGGCTTCTCTGTCATCTGATCGCTTGGAGCATTTGGCCTTCGCATGTTGCCAGACCTGCGTGTTCAGACGTACTAGGCGGACGGTGTTGTGATGTCTGTTGTAGTGCAGTTTAAGGCCTCGTTTCTGTGGAGTGTTCTTAACTATTCTCATGCTAAGTGCTGACTGTTCTTGGCATAAAATTATTCAGTGTGAAGAAACAGATATTCGCATCAAGTGACACGCATCGTAGCAGGCAGGTCGGTGATAACCTAACCTAATCACAGTAACAGTTCCTAGTAGTTTGTATACTGTTACTGGAGCTTCTCAAGGTTTCACATGTTAACAGAGTACGATGTTATTTACGTAAGAATTCAGATAAGATAATGCACGTCACAAATAGATATGTATGGTAGTTCTAGCAAGTAAACAACGAAATTCGACAGGTCTGCCAACGTATGAGAAAGAATATTGATGCTGTAGTCCGTATGTCCCTCTTGCGTAAATATGCCACGAATTTTAACCTATTTTAATTCATTTATTTACATAATATTAGCAATCAGAATCACGCTTGATTCTATAAGCTAATTTGCTGTAGTATTCTTCGTGACGTGGAGAGGGCTTATCCAGAGATAAGTCCTCGTTACCCCTCTCAAGTCGGCTGGCAAATTTCTTTTTAGTCTTCGTTCATTGTGTAGTTCCAGTAACGGTTGCATTAGTTCGTTCTCATGTCCTTCTATTTTGTTCAGGTATCTGTGCTTTTCCCTTTTATGACTTCCTTCACTAGTGGCACTTTTAGGTCTTCATGGAGTGTTATATTGGAAACATACCGTGGGGCATTAGTAATCATACGTAGTATCTTTGACTGACATCTTTGGATTATGGAAATATTAGTTTTGCTAGCACATCCACATATTTCCATATTTATTATTGTTTTGTAAAGTAAGATTTTGTTGTCTAATGAGAGCTTGGAATTTCTTCCAATTAACCAATGATTTTTAACTCAATCTGTTTGCGTTTTTTAGTAATGTGTTCCTTCCAGGTTAGATGGTTGTCTAGATGAATACCTAAGTATTTTGTGATGGGTGATTCAGGTATTTATATGTTATTAAAGAAAACTGCAGGACATTTTTCTCTTCTTAGACTGAAGTTTACTTGCACTGACTTGGTTTCGTTGATTTTTATTTTGTATTTGATTTAGATGATTTTGCAAAGGGAAGGTAGCTATTGCTGGATCTGTGTTGGCTGAGGATCACGGTATCATCCGCAAATGTGCCCATTGTTGTGTTGGCATTGACTGGTACGTCTGCTCTATACAGTAAATAAAGTAGTGGGCCTAAGACACTGCCTTGTGGTACACCTGATTTTATTGCAAAATTGTTAGATATGCTATCATTGATTCTCGTTCTGAATTCTCTGCCATTTTCATTTCTATAGGATTTTAGTAAGTGGAAATAAGTGATGGGCAGATATTTTTTGATTTTGTACAGTAGACCTGGATACCATATTATAGGATTTTAGTAAGTACGTTAATCTGTAGAGCCAAAAGTTTACGAAATAAACACTTGAGTTTCAGTTCACTGCTAATCGTGGTCTCTCCATAAGCACGGGGACAATTTTACCCTGATTCTATCAAACTAAAATAAACCATTCACCCTCACCGTTTGGCGATTTTTCTGGTTTTAACAGTATACTCCGATTTTCCGCCGTCTTTTTTCAAAGAAATTTATCATTCACTTTTAGTATTAGCTTTTTATGAGCTGGGATGATATTGGCTGCGCTGTGCAAGGCACGAAATGTGTTCGCCTGCTCAAAAACAGGGATCGTGGGTTCGAATCCCACTCGCAACATGGCTGTATGTTGCATTTCATCCGTTTATGTTTCCCTGTGTAGGTAGCGGCCTTGCGACGGGCTGATCCCCCGTCCGAGGAGCCCTACAAACTAGTAAGAATCATATTGTCAGTTTAACTGTAATGTTAACAGGCCGTAGGGCTTAACCTGTTAATATAGAAGAGAAACAAATATTACGGACGTTAGTCAGAGGCCCGTCTATTAACTGACAAAGCCATATGAATTGAGTCATCAGTGCTACGCCATCTTGTGACGAAGCTTAGCCTGAGTTCGTCACGTGGCTTAGCACGACGCCGTGAATCCGAGTGAAGTTAATTTCAAGAACTTCTGTACCCGATGTAAATGCGTGGCGAACTTCTATTTAACCGTCGGTACATCGGCACGATGAACAACACCAATTTTGTTCTCGAAAATAATGTTTTATGTAAAATGTCCAGTTTTCTGTCTATTGACAAGCAGGTTGGCCTGGCGGTAGAGGTTACTGTTACCTGCATTGAATATCGGTCATAGATTTCACGTGTAACTGCATTGTTCCATGAAACAGTTTTGGCGAATTGTAGTGCCTGATGATGGCCGGTTGGGGCCGCAACATGTAAAAAGTGAATATTCTAAGGAAAAATCTATGTGAATGTTATAGAAATGCAACAGGATGCTTAAATACAATATTGAGACTAGAATATGCATAACTTTTTATTTTTATTAAATGCATAATGTAGCCTCAACATACAAATCTTGTAACCAGAATGCATCTGTGCGGCATGCGGTCTGCGGTTCCACGACTGGGGGGGGNTGGGGGGGGGGGGGAGTTCCAGTTTTCATGCAGTTATTCTTGTTGTGCGGTTAATTCAATTGCGCACTGTGTGAAGTGAATCTTCACGGCTCACTTAAAGCCAAACACTAAAGTGGAATTTTAATAGAAGGCATTCTGCCCCGTCGCACTGTTCAGCATTGAGCAAAACAAAAGCACCATCTAGTACAAAGAATTTGATTCAAATGCATAAAAACTTTACATTTGTCGGTATTAAAAGAACACTATCAGAAGGCGATCAACACCTGAGGAAGTGCTTTGCAGTTACAAAGGTCAATTGCCCACCAATTCTACTCCCGTGGAGTTAAATAATTACAGTAAACGCAATACGCCATACAAGCCAAAATCGATCACCACACACGCCACATAAATATGAGGATATTCTATCACTATCCGGAGAATTGATGTGTGAATACTCCACACACACATTTTCTAGGATGAATACACGTAAAATGATTACAAAATCTTTTAATACGTTTTTGATACATTAAAAGCTGTACTTATTAACTTTAAGTGCTGAGTAACTGTCATTTTTACTGCAATTGTAATTTGAAATGTAATTAATTAACTCCACGGGAGTGGAATTGGTGAACAATTGCCCTTTGTAACTGTGAAGCATTTCCTCACGTGTTGATCGCCTTCTGACTGTGGTCTCCTAGCACTGAAACATGTAAAGGTATTTATGCAATTAAATCAAAACTCTCGCACTCGATGGTGATGTTTTGCTTAATACTAAAGTGAAATTCAGACCGACTGTCTTCTAGGATGTGGCGCCGTGCAGTCTAGTAGATACCAATGTTCGGAGGAACCCGCTGCTTCCATCTCCAGGGTAGTTTTCTTCCAGTCCTGACGATAGAAGCAATAAGTTCCTCCGAAACACTGATAGATATGTAGCGTGTCAGATCACATTGTCATATCCCACAAGACAGCCATTTTCATAGTCACTGGTGTGAGAATCACGAGCATGCAAACCTTTGCTACTCATTTTGAAAGGATGTTTGGGTACAGAAAATCACTTTCGAGTGATGAACCCTCATATTTTGTGTATATTCTGAAAGTCCCGAGTAAACATATGCCCTGATGTTGATGAGTTTTGTGGTTATCTTCAGACTTTGCATGCATATACTGGTATAATACTTTTTTTTTTAAATTCGCATCGTGGGGGGTGGAGTCCAGCTGGGTCCACTCGGCACATCGGCCACTGATTGGCCTATTGTACCTTCCCCGGATTATTGTGGTGGAGAATTTGGTGGAATGAAGATTGGCAGGGGAAACCGAAGTACTCGGAGAAAACGTGCCCCAGTGCCACTTTATCCACCACAAATCCCACTTGTCCAGACCCGGGCTGGAACCCGGGCCACCGTAATGGGAAGCCAGCGACTAACCACTTGAGCTATGGCGTAACCTTATAACACCTTGAATAAAGTCATAACCGTTTCCTTTCACATTTTTCCCATTCATCCTATCGCAAACTTGCAATAAAGATTCTTAATAAATAAACCAAAAAGAAAAAGATTGTCATTTATATCACTCTCCGCTTATAAATTTAAAGAAAAAGACAAAGACACAAATGTAGCAATATTAAAAGCTGTCCTAGACGTCCCCGCTAGTAAGGCGGTTGAAGCCCCCATAATTCCTGTACTCTCAGCGGTAAACATGTATCATTTTTAATTACAATTCTTAATCGATTTGCTAGAACGAAGAAAAATGCAATCAAATCAACGCCATTCGAAATTACTTTCACGGTCCTTATATTGCCATATGAAAGTCCGTAGCCTCCCTCCGGTAGCTGAATATTAGTTTGCAATTTATTGGATGACGTGTGGAAACAGTAGCTACGTAAGCGATACAGAGTTACGTCACAAGTGTGTGCCCATTTCTGCAGGCGACTGTACACTGCGCTGCGGTGCGGCGAGCAATACTAAACATGTATATATATATTATACTGGTATTTTAATTAGTCAGACTTCTCTAAATTCCGCCTAACATTCAAAAATAAATTATCAAAATATTCAAATTTATGATTATATAATTGTTCTATATAGATATGAAGCCGGTCACGGTAGCCGAGCGGTCTAAGGCGTGCACTGTCTTCGCTCGCTCGGAAGCCGGGATCGTGGGTTAGGATCTGTTCCCTGTGAGGTACGAACTGAATTCTTATATATTATTCTTATACACTGCCGGCCACGGTAGCCGAGCGGTCTAAGGCGTGCACTGTCTTCGCTCGCTCGGAAGCCGGGATCGTGGGTTCGAATCCCACTCAGGGCGTGGGTGTTTGTGTGCGTTTTTCTGTGTTTGTGTACAGGTAGAGGCCTTGCGACGAGCTGATCACCCGCCCAAGGAGTCGTACCGTGTGTCTAAGATCTAGAAAAACCGAAGTGAACGGAGAAGTTCATGGAGGTAGGCCTAGGCCCACTGGGGCTGTAGTGCCAAGGGGGGAAAAAATATAGATATGAAACTTGGTCTCTTGGCCAATGAAAATGTCAGATTGAGGGTGCTTGGGAACAGAGGGTTGAGAAGGAAATGATAGGAGAACAAAAGAGTACATTCTGTACGTCAATAAATTATTGTTATTAAGGTGATCAGATCAAGTTAGATGAGGTGGACGGGGCATGGAGTTTACCCGAAATACATACAAAATACGAAGGAAGTGACGTATTTGGGAAGAGAATGTTAGAGTTTGTAAGATTTGAGGTTTTTACGGTGGTGACTATGAAAAATGCCTTCTTCTGGGATGTGGCGCCTTGTAGATCTTGTGTGAATCGACGTTTCGGGGGAACGTATCGCCTCCATCTTCAGGGTAGAAAAATCTGCGAGTGAAGAAACAGTATGATTTCATGGCTGCAGAATTTTTCTACCCTGAAAATGGAGGCGATACGTTCCCCCGAAACGTCGGTTCACACAAGATCTACAAGGCGTCACATCCCAGGAGAAGGAATTAATTAATATTAGAGTTGATCACGAAAATATCGATTGTGAGCGTGGTTCGAATTCGTGTTGATCACGATTAACTCCAACGGTGACTTCTTGTGAAGACGGTATTAAACTTTCGGTACTCATAAAAGACTAGAAATTTATAGAATAAGATAGCGACAGTTAGCTTCTGAGGAAGATAATTTTTTACAGAATCATCAACACGACTATATAGTATTAATAGTGTTTATTCTCATCCACTATATGTTTCAACCATATTATTAGGTCATTTTCACAAGATATGCTCACTTAAAACATTGGTCACTTCATATATTCTGGTAGAAAATGGCTCCGTTATTCAGAAGTATTATCCAACGTGATTACAAAATCAGATAGTCAAAATAATCATATATAAATATAATAATATGCAGTGAGAGACCGCCTATGTGGTCTAGTGGTCAGAGTTCCTGAATACAGATTCAGAGGTCCTGGTTTTGATTCCCGTCGCTACCAGATTTTATGAGAAGCAGTGGGTCTGGAACTGGGTCCACTCAGCCCCGTGAGGATAATTGAGGAGATATTTCAAGGAAATGTGTGTGTGAGCTGTATATATGTGTACATATGATGATTATTCTGTGTGTATATCTTGTTGGTTACTTCTTTGGTTATGGTGGCTTCACATTATTATTAATATCATATTAAAATATAAAAATAACATTGAAGTGACATATGGGATCGTTGTGGTTCCCTGTTGTTGTCTGGTGGTGCGTGATGTTAGTGTTGCTAGGATGTTGATTTGGAACGTTTACCAACTGTGTAAAGTGGGCTACACTTTTATTACTCCTTATGGCAGGCGTATTATTGTGTTTGCATGTGGTAAATTCCTTCGTAGAATTCCTGTAGGGGTTATTCTTCCACCTGTTGTTACGATTTCGCTAATATGTGCTGTCCTGCAGTTTCTTGATGATTTGAATTATCATTTGCGTAATATAGCTTGTTTGTTATGTGGCGAAGGCGGTCATGATGGCCTGATATTTGGTACTGTTACGTATAAGGAGTAGCGTGACTAATAATTGTGGATTTGAAGATTGGATTTATTGGACGTCTCTATAACAACAGTTCACATATTTGACTCCTTCTGGATAATGAATCTCTCACTTTTTTCTGGATCTTGCGCAGGTATCTAGCCTGTAGTCTTCTCGAATTCTGTTTAACTCTGCTTAGTTCTCGAAAACAGCTGATTCACTGTCGACTCACTTCTGACTTCGCTAGTCAAAGTCAAAAGTCACATTGAGATTGACGGTCAGTCAGTCAGTCAGTAAGTCTTGGTTTCGAGCCCCATCTGGGGCTCATGACCAGATATTTATTACTGTTTGACAGTTACGGTCTTGCTTTTGTGGAGCGCCCTCTCTGACGAGAGGACGGGTCTGTCTTTTCTATATGCTACTCGCCCTTGCCAGCGCAGTCTTTCTCGGGTTTTAGTCCCTTGGGACTCGCGACCATATTTTACTGTCTCAGATTTGAGACTTCCCCTTTCGTCACCTCCTACGACTCGCAGGGTCACGGTGGAGGTATTCCACCCCGCCTCCACACGGACATGACTTAGCTACTGCTACTCCTGCTACTTTATATCTGCTTGGCGTACCGAATAGGGGACACAGAGTCCAACTGTTCACAATAACTCGAGCTGTTGCTCAACAACCGACTGTGTATCAACAAGCCGTTACCTATGCAATGGATTCACATGTCACAGTATTATCTCATGCCAGAATATTCCTGTAGGGACCGACAACCACTAGAAACCTGATCAGGTTAGGCCCTTTTCCTGCCATCATTCGAACCGGGCACCGCTTGAACACAAATCGGAATTCTTACCGCTTGAGCCAGCGTGCTCGGTGCACGGAGACAACTTAGTTAGGTCACAGGGGGCACACATTCTGAACATGTACCGTTCTTTAATTGACATTGCGTGTCTAAATCTCTCCTGCCGTATGGGTGCATGTATTGGCTTGATGTTCATTCTGTCTCCCTGTGTAGACAGAGGATTTCAGATGAGCGGAAACTTCAGCTTAGCGAAGCTATAAAGAATCTGTCACATGTCAGAAAATATATCTAAATAGTAAATTAGTAAAAAATTGATAAGTTGAGGAGAACATTATTAAAATGTACAACGCATGCAGTAACAGGAGCAAGGAGCAGTACAACGCATGCAGTAACAGGAGCAAGGAGCAGTACAACGCATGCAGTAACAGGAGCAAGTGCAGTACAACGCACGCAGTAACAGGAGCAAGTGCAGTACAACGCACGCAGTAACAGGAGCAAGTGCAGTACAACGCACGCAGTAACAGGAGCAAGAGCAGTACAACGCATGCAGTAACAGGAGCAAAACACAACACAGAACACGATACACAAATGTATGTAGGAAGAATGCTCACATAAAAGAGGATTGGCGTAATTCGCGTGTTTGAGTGCGACGTAGGATGAATCCTGAAAAGTTTTATTATTTAGAATTCATCGATATATATATGACGAACACAGATTTTAGTTATTTTAGAATGAAGACATCATGGCATGCAGTACAATAGTTTAAGGTGCATAAAGACACCTGAAGATGGCACATTAGTGCCGAAACATGTAGTATGGAAGTGAAGAATAAGGTGAAAAAGTGTATACACTGTAAGACGGTTAGCATAAACCATGAAAATGTACCCATTTATAGCAGAGTTGAAACTCTGTGCTCCGTCTGCTTTAACATTCAGAGGCTATGTATTTTGTATTATAGGTTCATATGATTCTGAGCACAAAGACAGATTTGTTCTTGTGATGGAGACGCAGTTTTAATAGACTAGGGACTTATTTCGCCGATCACAATGGCCGTGCGGCCTAACGAATGAACTGCCTGCTCTTCCTCGAACTCTGGGATCCTGGATTTAAATCCCACTTGAGGCATGTATATACGTGTGCGTTTATTCTGTGTTTATGTTGTTTTATGTTTAGATAGCAGCCTTACGACGGGCTGATCCCCCGTCCAAAGAGTCCTACCGAATGTATATGAGATTAAGAAACTGAAAAGGCTGCAAAGATTCAACAAAAGGGCTGTAGAGCCATAGATGGATGGACGGACAAATGGACGGATAGATAGATGAATAGGTTGGATAATGGGTGGGTAGGTAGGTAAGTAGGTAAAGCACAATAGATCACTGTAGGTCGCGGTGCAAGGGCCGAGGAGGTCTCCCCTTATACATTCATAGGTAAGTAGGTAGGTACTTATTTCTGACCAATGTTTGGATTATTTTTAGGATTTAATGGGAATAAATAAATATTTTACCTGCCTGACTGCTAGAAGTCAGTATGTAACAGGAAGGCCCTTCGTTCTACGGGCAGGACAATGATCCTCTTTGTTTTCTGTGTTTTCAAGCAAATGCTGACACGTTTCCGAAGATCAGAGGTGTTATGCATGGTCCTCTTATATCCCTCCCGGTTTAAACTTACAAAAACTGAGCCCGCTTGCTATTGAGGGCACCAGATTATGTTTCCAAATTGTGCGTTTCAGCACTGATTAGAAATCATAACTTCAAACCCTGGTCTCAAGCCAGAACTTGTTACAGCATCTCGACTCTCATATTTCCGTTATCAGCGGGTCGAGCGAATGAAGCATGGCAAAATTCCAATGCGATGATGCGAGGTCTTTCCCTGAAGTAAAATGTCTCACTTACCTGTTACTTTTCCTTTTCACCTCTTCTCATTTTTTTTTTAATTCTTTCTTTCCTTCGCGGTTTAGAGAGTTAAATAAGTCACCTTAAGTTACCAAAATGGATGACAGTGGAGCAATTTATATCCTTTCTTGTGGAAGAGTGTTTAAATTCACACTGGCTGATAGATGTAAATTCAGAAGTTTCAGAAAGAGAATAGCCTTAATTTTATGCTGCTCAGAAACAGGCCTGAATCACTTTGTGCCACTGTTTCACAGATTATAACGTCCTCCAAGTACCGTGCTGTTAGGTACACGTAATTGTTTGAAGTTCTTCAATTTTTTGGTTTTCCTCAGCCATTTGGCGTGAGGTTTTCTGCATGTTCACCATTTTCATGAGATTTATAAGTTAAGAACCACACGACATACATGTTTTTGTTTCACCCCTTATGTTTTCATGGTTTGGTGCTTAATTAAGCAGAGGTTTAACTTTGCCATTTTCGTATCATAACTACTCGTACATTAGGAACGGACATAACCATGTTTGTTCCAAATTCTTGGATACTAAAATTCACTTGGATAGGAGCAATTATTGGTTTTTGGTCGTTATTTATGATCCTGTTTTTATTCAAAACACAACATTTCGTTGACTGGATTCTCTCTCCGTCTTCATGTAAACCTACTCAGTTGGGCCCGACCGATGCAGCTAGTCCCTATTGTTTGGAAAGTATCTATACTTTGGTAGCCGAATTGCATTTCTTGTGAGTTAAGCGAGCTGCATGTGACGATGACAAGCAGCGGGGGAGAGACACACCTTGTAATCCTTTAAAATGAGATCTTTTAACAAGTTAAATGATGCAAAGCAACGAATTTCCTGTCATTTTATTTTTGTGTGCTGGTGTTACCCAACAAGCTCCAGCAGAGGGTGACGGCCTGCTGGCAGTTCACGAACTGTTTATTAGGATGAATCACCACTCGGTCCATCGCATCGCAATATTCTATGCAGGTCCTCAGACATTCATGTAAACGCCCCTGCAGGAGGTCTTCTAGTGCTCTGTTATATTCTCCGGACAAAATCTGAAGCCTTTTTGCTATCTTACCATAATCACATTTCTTCTTACAGTTAAAACATATTTTCAGTTTCGATAAATTAGACCCAATATTCACGGAACAATGAATACATTTGTACTGAGTAACTTGAAACTGTAGTTTGTCCACAGTTGGCCATTTCTCTGAACACGCTTTGCAGTTGCATTTGAAGAAATATTGTGTATGTAAGTCTTTATGTCTTTCTTCTAAATTATTTGATAAGAAATGAGGTCCGTAATTGTCAAGAATCTCTTCTCCCTTTTTGATGGGCCTTACTGCTCTCACAATGCACGTTTTCCCATAAGAATGACGAACCACGTTTGGACTGCAACTGTGGTTGCAGAGGCTGATTGTTGGGTACACAGCTCCTCCAAGTTCAATCTCTTGCGCACTGCGTACGTTGCCATCAGTCAGAATTTGTTCTGTGATCTGATAAGCGTTACACGAACAACTCTGAAGATGTCGAAGTAACGTTGTAGTCATTTCTACTTCATTAACCGTATTCGGCGCGATATGACTGTAACATCGCATGAGAAAAAACGCAGTTGTTGTCCTTTTCAAGATGTCTGCTGGAGTGCGCGAGGAAGAATTCGTCACCTGACCGTACACTGAAGCATAGTCGTTGGACAGAAACGGAAATCGCTGTGTCGTATTGATACTGTTCAACAACGTACATGCTTCTTGTTCTGTAGAAGTCGAATCTAGCAGCTGGGCCGAATAATGCTTTGTGACTTTAGTGTCCTTACCAGATGCCACGTTGTCTTCAGGCTTTGTAGAACCTACCCCGCCATAAGCTGTTACTGCGGTGCGGTAAACCAGTAAGGCCATCTTGCTTAGTTCCTTGGCGCTCAGCAAATGATTGAGTACACGGCACTCAAAGCGATGGTAATGTTGCCAGCTGTTATCTCGACATTCTTCGCAGCAATAGGAAACCTAGAAGCAACCAAAATGGATAATATTCTGAGCATTATGAATACACAGTAAATCCCAAGTTACGGAAATATGATATTACACGTCTTTCGGCTCAAGGGTTGGAGCTACAAGCCTGTTCCGGTGTTGAGCAATTTTGAAACTGGTCATTTCGTTTACTTACATGTAATTCATCTACTCCGTATAACTTGAAATTGTAATGTACTCNCTGATATTTCCCCCATCTACCAGAGGCACTGGAAACTACTTGGGCGGGAAATTGTTGCCTAATTTCGCTCAGAGGTCTCCTAGAGATATGAGGATGTTTTACGTGCCGTAAATCTACGACACGGGACCCACGGCTTAAAGTCCCTCCCGGAGGACTTTTTCCCTGAATTTTTCAGCCCTTAAAAATTCCACGACCTCCGCCGGGTTTGAACCCGCGTACTTTGAAAGTAGGTTACTATATCTATATACGAAACTACACGGCGTCGCATCTTACGAGGGTAAGTCAATAAGTAAGTTACAAATGGATATAGAACTTAAACAAATAAGAGTACTAATTTGAAAAATGCTTTTATTTCTCGACATAATCTCCCTGTAAACTGAGGCACTTGTCCCATCGTTTCGCAAGCCCCTGAAAATCAGCAGCATAAAATTCTAGCTTTCTGCTATGGGGAACTGACTGGCAACCCAAATGGTACCTCTTTTTGTTCCCCAGTTCGAAACGAGAGGAACCTCTGCTGTCCGCCCCGCTAGGGTTATTTGTACTTCAACCCCTGAACACTCTGAGATATTTTGCGTTATTTTTTATGAAGGATTGATTCGTCCACCAATGGCTCTACAGCCCATTCTTGGGCCCTGGCCGCTTCTTCATCTTCACAATATTTTTTTTACACAGACGGCAGGACTACTTGGGCGAGTGATAAGCCCGTCGCAAGGCACTACCTGGCACAACACACACAGAGAACAAAAGCGGATTTAACGGATCTTTATTGGACACTCACACTTACACGCCTTACAATTATTATCACTTGCAGTGTCACTTGACTTCTGGCCCTATACTCCAATGCGACGCCTCAACTATCCTTGGCCGTGGCTGAATAGCAGTTGTCGCGGTGATGGGCGTAAGGTAACGCGTCACAGTACCAATTCATGTACGTTGGCAGCTGCTTGTATATTTAAACGTTTTAATCGTTTTTGTAAGTCACCCAATTTTCACACTTTGTTTAAAATTCGGATCCGCTTCTGTATCTAAACGTTTTGTTTGGACCATTGGCTTGTCTCCAGAAGTCTGTGTGCCACAAACGCGCCATTGTTCTGTCTCAAGATCCATGGAAATCTGCCACGAAACGCCCTCAATATCATTCAGTGTTATATCATTCCTTCATAGCACACTGGTAATTTTGTTAAAAAATTAAAATTCCCCTAGTGGGGGTGGAGTCCAACTGGGTCCACTCAGAACGGCGGTCACTGATTGGCCTATTGTAGCCTGCCCCGGGTGATTATGATGATGAAGAAATTGGTGGAATGAAGATTGGCAGGGGAAACCGAAGTACTCGGAGAAAACCTGCCCAAGCGTCACTTTGTCCACCACAAATCCAACTTGACCAGGCCCGAGATCGAACCCGGGCCGCCGCGGTGGGAAGCCAGCGTCTAACCGCTTGAGCTATGGCTCGGCTTAGCATACTGGTAATTATATTTACAGTCTCTTTTAAAATTAAGAAACTCTGCATTGTACCTACAGGATTTATTTATATGCTATGTGTAATTGTAAAAATAAACATCGATTTTTTCCCCAAACAGCTGGTTTTTCACCACGGAGACACGAGTTCAGTCCCAAGATTGCTTATGTGGGATTTGTGGTAGGCAGAGTGGCACTGTGACAGGGTTTTCTCCGAGTATTTTGGTTTCCTTCTTCCAGTTATTATTCCACCAATGCTCCAATCTGTCATCAATCATCTAGGCCTGATACAACGAGCCTACTTTCCGCCCGAGTAGAGAGGGTCTTGATCTCACCGCGCTGCAAGAATACAAAAAGCAACAGCATTGGCCGGTTCCTTGCTGTAACGGACATGCGTTGGGCAGTGCAACTGTAAATATCACGTAAGTGGATCTGGTCTCAGTGCTAACAATACAGCGTCTGTAAAGTACCATATAACCCGACCCAACCTCCCAGCTTGTACATTTTTCATTAAGTCTTTCTTCCAGCTGCTAGTTATGATGTATGATCCTTGTGATGCAAAGATACAGAGATTCAATTCTTATTCATTAACTCTTCGTTTTAATTACAATGAGAATAAGAGACATAACTTTACTAATCTGATCTCTACTACTTAACTCACTCACTCAGGGCGCTGAGCCCTTCTTGAGAAGCCGCTAGTCGCGCAGCTGATCTAGAATACTTGCATTGGTTAATTACAGCAGTACAGTGTTGTCCTTATCCTTAGTACTAGCATGAAGTCCGTTGAAATTTCAACGGTATTAGTGAATTTGGGGTATGAAACCTATTGCTAAAACAATTTAAATGCAATATTATTTTTCCTCTCCGAATCAACATGCATTAACATACATAATATCAGCGACTAATGCCCATCGTGTACATTTCATGCAATTTCAGTTTAATGGATATGTTGCCCATCAGCGGCCCGCCTCTGTGGTCTAGTGGTCAGCGTTCCTGGCTACAGATCCAGAGGTCCGGGTTCGATTCCCGGCGCAATTAAAACACAGGAACTAGCATCTCAGATCACTCCAGATATCTCTGCACTACAGCACACATCAAGTCTTCTAAATCACACTTTACATCCTCACAGGCCGACCTCCTGTATTCTTCTGTACTACGTTCGCGTGCTTATCTCGTAACGCGTTGACTGACTCCGTCTCACTTCATATCAAAGTCAAAGTCAAAGTCACATTGCGACTGACGGTCAGTCAGTCAGTAAGTCTTGGTGTCGAGCCCCATCTGGGGCTCATGACCAGATATTAATTTTACCGTTTGACAGTTACGGTTTTATTTTCGTGGGGCGCCCTCTCTGACGAGAGGACGGGTCTGTCTTGTGCATATGCTGCTGGCCATTGCCAGAGCGATCTTTCTCGGGTCGGAGTCCCTTGGGACTCGCGACCATATTTTACTGTCTCAGATATGAGGCTTCCCTTTTCGTCGCCTCCTACGACTCGCAGGGTCGCGGTGGAGGTATTCGACCCCGCCTCCACACGGGGGAATCTCACTTCATATGAACTCTAGTTTCTCCTATAAATCCTCAATCGGACAAGCGGAAAACGCAGTTTGCGTCACTGTTGCGTGACGTCACAACCTAGCGTGGAAGGGCGTTTACCGAGCGTTGCGTAGCAACGGGCTCAATGCGGGTGTATGTGACGGCACTTGCGGAAACACAGAGGTCACGTGACCCCTACTAACCGTTGCGCAATCCAAGTGTTCACAGAGCTGTCGCCGATCCAATCCGCAACTATCCCGTTGCGCGCATGCCCCGAGACCTCTGTGTGTGGTCCGTGCGAGGAGTTATCTTGAACGCATTCGGCGCGAGTGAACTGTCCGTTAGCACCTGCTCACGCTGGTTCCTTGCTCTGTTTCTTCTACCCTGAAGATGGAGTCGGTACGTTCCTCCGAAACGTCGGTTAACACAATATCTACACGGTGCCAGATCCCAGAAGACTACTTTCTCCATTTGAGTCCGTGTTTAGAAGTGCTTGGGGCTAAAGTTTAATTGATATAAAATGAAATGCAAGTTACCATCCAAGCATATCTCATTTATTGGCTAAGCAGACTGTGTGCTTCAGATGGTATGTCGGAAGATGAATGTTGTCAAAATATTTAACTGATAAATTTACCCTGGCTGATGTTTCCCTCTCAGAAGCGCTTAAAATTTTTGGTGTTCATTAAATCAAATTTGCGTTCCATATATGTTGTCCCCCATGCCTATATCTGCACAATTATTTGCTGATTTTTAACAAGAATTATGCGGTATAGTCTGTTCCTATGGAATGGAAACTGAATGCCGGATTTGAACAAGCTGATATCAGCGTTATCAGTGGAAAGAAGGACATTTCAGTAAAGGCGCGTCCACATTACTCGTGCTCGTGTGACTCGCTATGCTCGCGAATAATGTGGATGATATGACAAGTCACGAGACAAGCAAATTTTACATTTTTAATTTAAAAACTACAGCCAATAAATTAAAATACGACTACAGCCTATACACACTACGAGCAAATATACGGATCCTCACGAGCCGAAGCCTGGCGAGCAACTGAAGTAGTGTGGACGAAGATTTACGAGCACAAGTAAAAGCCATACGAGTCTCCCGACAAGCACGAGTAATGTGGACGCGCTCTTTAGATCTGTCAATCGTACTTGGTGATATACAAAAAAAAATATGCATGAATTTGATCAAAATATTCGACTTTCTTGTGCAAAGTAAGTGATGATGGGCAGTGAAAAGAGTATAAAACAGTATCTAAGAGCTTTATACGTGTAAGTGTTTACTTTTCTGTCATATATACCTGAAAGTGCTCAGACAAGTGCTTGTCATAGTATTACATTTGTTCCTGACCAGATGTTAACGCCCATCGTGGTAGTACTTCCTCAGTCGGCCTCTCATGAGCACCTCCGGGCATGTGTTTATTATTATCCGCCCAAACGTTTAATGCAGGAGGAAACGGAGACTGTTTCCCATGCATGCAAGCGCTTGCTACACCAAGTCCACCCACTCCTTCACTCGTCTTTCTCTCTAGCTAGAAGGTCCATAGCGCCGGTCTTGCATCTGTTTCTCTGGAACGTATAATTTATTTCTTTCGTAGTCTGCTTCTTATGGCGCCAGCTGCTCGCTTGGCATGGCTTAACTCCCTAAATAAGGAGAGGCTGGAGGGATTGGTTAGGAACACTCCCATCCTAGCACTTGTCCTGGAGCCATCCTTGTTGTTCACACCCCTCCATCGCATTTGAGGACTTTGTTCCTACCGACTAATTACCAGTCATTAGTCGCAGCCAACTTTATACAACGCCA